GTGTGTGTGTGTGTGTGTGTGTGTGTGTGTGTGTGTGTGTGTGTGTGTGTGTGAGTGAGTGAGTGAGTGAGTGAGTGAGTGAGTGTTCAAATGCAGCTGGAGTGCTCCTCTCATCTAAGGTAATCAGGTGTGGGCCACACAGGCCAGGCCAAAAGGTGTGCATGTGTGTGTGGGTCAGCAGTGCGGACATGATGAGGGGTGAAGCAGAGGCGAGTGTGTGTGTGAGAGTGTGTGTGTGTGTGTGTGTGTGTGTAGTGAAGTGAAGTGAAGGAAAGGAAAGGTAAGTGCTAAAAGTGTGCAAGAATGTGGCTCTGACATGAAGCCAAACAATCTACTGCTCATTACCCACAGAACAAACAGACAGAGGCTCTGTTCCAACACCTAGTGATCCACTTTGCCGTCTACAGCCTACATAGGCAGCTGTCCTCTACAGGCAATATCCTAACTGAACCTTTTAAGTGACTCATTTGGAAAGTGCTATATGGCCAGAGACTACTCATTAGGTGTGTATAAAATTTGCATTAGCAAATATTTGTATACCTACTATTCATAATCAAATTAAATGTATGTATGTTCTTATTCATAACCAGTTCCATTAACATAACATAACATAAAATACTGGAACTGAATAATTTTCACAAACTTCAACCAGTGTTATTTTAGTATTATTTACATATTGTTATAGTATTTATTAATATATTGAATTAGCTTTTGTTGTTATACTTTCAGATTCCATTATACATTTTAATGTTTTAGTAGATGCATGTTTTTGCCATTTTTATTCATTTCTTAACTGTTTAGTTGAAAATATTTTTTAAAATAAATTTCATTTATATTTATTTGAGTTTTAGCTACAGTAATTTTCAAATTAATTCTAATTTACATATTACAGTATTTATCAATGCTTTGAATTAGCATTTGTTTTCATTTTAATTTTGAAGTTTTAGTAATTTTGTTGTGTGCTTTTGTAATTTGTATTAGTTTTTTTAATATTTCTATTTAGATTTGATGTATTTTTATTGCATTTTTATTTTAGTGATTTTAAGCTTATTTATTATTTATGTATTAGAATGTATTAACATTTTGAACTAGCTTCTGTTTTTATATTTTCAGCTTTCATTTTAATTGTAGTTAATTTTAAAAGTTATTTCTATTTTAGTTTTTATTTCTGTGTTAGTTGTAATCATCATTTGGCGTAATCATCATTGTTTAACATGGTGCTTGAGCATCTACAGGTGCATATCAATAAATTAGAATGTCGTGGAAAAGTTCATTTATTTCAGTAATTCAACTCAAATTGTGAAACTCGTGTATTAAATAAATTCAATGCACACAGACTGAAGTAGTTTAAGTCTTTGGTTCTTTTAATTGTGATGATTTTGGCTCACATTTAACAAAAACACACCAATTCACTATCTCAACAAATTAGAATATGGTGACATGCCAATCAGCTAATCAACTCAAAACACCTGCAAAGGTTTCCTGAGCCTTCAAAATGGTCTCTCAGTTTGGTTCACTAGGCTACACAATCATGGGGAAGACTGCTGATCTGACAGTTGTCCAGAAGACAATCATTGACACCCTTCACAAGGAGGGTAAGCCACAAACATTCATTGCCAAAGAAGCTGGCTGTTCACAGAGTGCTGTGTCCAAGCATGTTAACAGAAAGTTGAGTGAAAGGAAAAA